TCCCAAATGTAGCTTCTTTTCTCTTCCTCCAGACCTCTTCTAACGCCATCAACAACCCAGATTGTTCTTACTCATTATATTTCAGTTTGCAAAGCCTTTAAAAAAAATTAAAAAATACTCAGGCAGCTTTTCCTGATCCAATGGAATATCCAGTAACTTTTTACTCGTTTTTCAAGTCAAAGTTTAAGTGCCTTCCTCTATACCAAGAATAGCCAGGGATTGACTTACAAAGGTAGATTTCTGTACTAACACAAGTTACCATTTATCAGTGAGTTTAGGAAAGAGAATAAGAGGAGAACTATGGAAGTTAGATTGGTCTAGAAAGTCTTCTATAAGGAGTTATAAAAGATCTAGGCCTAAAAGATCTAGCTAGCTATGCTAAAACGTTAATGAACATTGCAAACAGAATGAACAGTATATGCAAAGGCCTTGAGTCAAGAACTTGACCTCTTAGTGTTCTAGAATCTGAAAAAAGACTCAGTGTGGCTGGGACATTTTCAGAAAGGCCAGTTGTATTCCTATTGGAATCTGAGATCCATACCGCTCATTGTTCTACAAAATACTTAGGTGACTGAAGTTGATACATGGGAGGAATAGGTTTATAGTTCTGAGAAAAATGGAGGAAACCTCTCCATCTCAAATTTTCAAAAGTTGGTTAATTTTGCTTATGTCCAGCTTGTCATTTTTTTCCTTTTGTGAATAGTGCAGTTGGGATTTATGAATGCTTTGTGTATCCCAAAGTATCTATAGATTTTTCTCCTATGTTTTCTTATAGGTGTTTTATAACTTTTGTCTTGGTTTTCTTCATAAATTTTAAGATAAGTTTGTCTGTATTCACACTTTAATTTGATAATTTGTGTGTGTGTGTGTGTGTGTGTGTGTGTGTGTGTGTACATGTGTGTACCAGTACTGGGGCTTGAAATCAGGGCCTCAGAGAAAGAAATCTTACTTTCTTGCTCATTGCTCATGTTCTACCTATTGAGCCATGCCTCCAGTACAGCATTTTGCTAGCCTTGCAGGCATGAATCCACCAAAACCTGTCTCTGATGGTTCATTTGGAATTGATTTTTTTTTAATGAAGTGTGAGGTTTAGGTAAAGGATTATTTTGGCCTATGGATATCTAACTGCTCCAACATCATTTGCTGGAACAAATGATGTGCTTGTTGTATAGGGCTTAAACTCAAGTCTCATGCCTTCATTTAGATTTTTTGCTCAAGGATGGTACTCTACCACTTGAGCTCCATTTCTGGCTTTTTAAAATTAGAGATAAGAGATAATCCTGTTGGGTTCAGTTTTCAAGTTCTTTTTATATTCTGTTGATTTGCTGTCTAGTGACTTTATTTTTTTTCTTTTTTTTATTGTGAAAATACTGTACAGAGGAGTTACAATTACATGGGCAAGATAATGAGTACATTTCTTATCAAGCATTGTAGCCTCCTCCTTTGTTTCCCCTTCCCGTCCATTCCCATCCTCCCCGCCCCCCCCCCTCCAGAGGAAAGTTGTAAAGTTCGTTATCGACATAACGACTTGTACATCTCATTGTTGCAATGAGTCCACCTGTATCCCTATTTAAATGATTTGTTTTTCCCCTTCCCCTCCACAAATTATACCGACATCAAATACAGTGAAAGCAGAGGTTATACTGTGGAGGAGGAACATAGAAAGCAACAGAGAAATAATCTTATAAATGCGTTAGAAACAATCACATGAAAGAAGAAAAACATTTGAATACGTGTCTTAGGGTTCATTTCCCTAACATCACCTTTTCTGACCTTTTTTGCTTGACTCAGACATATACTACATATTGCAAATAAGGGAAACAATGGGACCTATGTTTCTTTGGGCCTGGCTTACTTCTGTCTAGTGACTTTATCAAATGTTGAGAGAGGTACTAAAGATTCCTACCAGGTGGACTTGTCTATTTTTCCTTTCTGTTCTTTTGGCTTTAGCCTCTGGAAATTTGAAGCTCTGTTGTTTATTGCATATACACTTAGAATTGCTGTGTCTTCTTCATAGATTAATCCTTATAAAGCCTTTGTTCCTGGCAATTTTCTTTGTATTAATGTAACTATTTTCCCTTTCTTTCAATTAATATTTGCATAGTATATCCTTTTAATTCTTTTTGCTTTCAACCTACATCATTATATTTGAATAGATAGCATGGTTAGGTTGTTTAAAAATCTATTCTAGGGATGGAGGTGGATCTCAGTGGTAGACTACTTGCCAGCCCTGGTTTCTAAGAAGTCCCAGAACTTGAAGGAATAAATACATCCTGTTCATCACATTTAGTTTGTGTGCTTGACACATTTATAATAGTTTGTTTGTACCTTAGGGCTTAAATCTGATATTTTTATAAATTGATTTGTTTAATCCCAATTTTGTTCCATTTTCCTTTTCCTGTCATCTTATTGTGTTATTTGATCATTTTCAAATTTCATCTTGACTTATCCACAGTGAATTAAGTTTTTTGTATGTTTATTTTTATGGTTCCTTTGGATAATACATACATACTATATCATACTCTATTTGTGTCAACATTTTACTATTATGAATGAAGTATAGAAAGTTAGCTTTCATCCTGCTCCTTTTAATAATTCTCTTAGGTATTTTCTCCACATATTGAGAACCTAATCACAATTATATTTTTACCTCAACCATCAAATATTTTTAAAGCTCAAGAAAGTATATTAATTTACTATTATTTTCATCCTTTCAGTTTTTATTGTTTCATTGGCAATATTTCAAGCCTCCTTTATCATTTTCTTTGTGTTGGAAGAACTTCCCTTAGCATTTGTTATACAACAGTTATCTGTTTGCAACAAATGGAGTCTGGGTTGACAGTTATTTCTTTCAGAGCTTGAAAAATGTGCCACTTCCTTTGTACTTCCATGCTTTCAGATATGGAGTCTGTTGACATTCACACTGCCCCCATAAGTCATGGGTGTCATTTCTCTCCCTAGTTGCTATCAGGAGTTTTTTTTCTTAAAATTCTTATTTTTTTCCAATTTTTGATAAAGTCTCGCTATGTAGTTTGGGCTGGCCTCATTATCTTGTCTCTGTCCCCCAAGTACTGAAATTACAGGCATGTACCACTATGGACTTTGTTTTTCTGAAATGTAATTATGTTGTATCTTGGGGTAAACTTCTTTGAGTTTTTCTTGTTTGAAATTTTCAGAGTTGACCTGAATCTGTAAGTTTATGTCTTTTGCCAAGTCTGAGGAATTTTCAACTATATTTATTCATATACATTTTCAACTTTACTCTTTTTAGCACTCTGATGACACAGATGGTAAATCAGTTATTATCATACCACCAGTCCTTGAGGCTATGCTTTTTCACTTTTTTTTTTCTGTGCTCAGACTGGGTAGTCTGTTGTTCTATTTTCAGATTCAGTAATGCTTTACTCTGTCATCTCTGTTCTGCTATTGATCCCACCCAGTGAGGTATTCAAATTTTGATTACTGTACTCTACACTTCTAAAATTTCCATTTCATTTACAGATATGGTGGCCTGTACTATACTCTCAGCATTTAAGAGTCTAAGATAACAGGAGGGCAAGTTTGAGATCAACCTGGACCACATAGCAAGACCTTGTCTCACACAAAAATTGTGTTTTACATTTGGTTCTTTATTAAAGAGGAGAGGGAGAATGCAGTCAAGAGTTTAATGTATATCCTACAAAATTAAGAACACGGAGGGAAAGGGTGGGTTGGGAGGGATGAGTGAGAATGTTGAAAAGGAGGACATTCATCAAGATGCATTGTATTCATAAACTTCTTTGTTCAATGGCAACTCCTTTGTACAACTGCTTAAAGATAAAAATATTTTTATTTTAAAAATAAACATTTTCTGCTGGATTCCAGTGGCTCATGCCTGTAAAATCCTAGCTCAGGAGGCTGAGATCTGAGGATCATGGTTCAAAGATAACTGTACAGGGAAGTCTATATGAGATTCTTACTTCCAAGTAACCAGCAAAGAGCCAGAAGTGGAGCTGTGGCTCAAGTGGTAGAGCACTAGCCTTGAGCCAAAAAGCTCAAGGACAGAACCTAGGCTCTGATTTCAAGCCCCAGAACTGTCACCCCCCCCCCCACACACAGACACAGACACACACACACACACACACACACACACACACTCCCCTTTGTTGAAAATTCCTATTGTTTTTTAATATTTGTTTCAAGTGCATTTGAAGTTGTTAGTTGAAACATTTTAAGATTGCTGCTTAAAATCTGTTTTAGATCATTCAATATCATTGTTATCTCAGTGTTATATGTGAGTTTCTATTTGTGTTCAAGTTTTAATTTTCCTGGTTCTTGGCTTGACAAATGCTCTTTTTTAAAAATTATATCCTGGACACAAAAGTCCTATATTTGAATTAGGTCTTTGCTCACAGAAGGGAGTTTTTCCTGTGGTGCTTCATTTTTATCTTTATAGACAAATCTTTTTCCTATCTTTTGGCTAGCAACAACAGGCTTTTCTGTTGTCTATGATCACTGTTGTTTATGACCTACTGACTTCTTCAGGGCCCATTCCAGAACACAGTACAGCTGTGTCTGGCATAACTCACTTTGACTAGAATGACATAAATATACACATGTAAAGGATGGATGGTGACATGGTCACTCCCTGAAGCTCTAACTTCACTCCCAGTTCTTCTCTGTCATCTACCCAGAAGGCCCCAGAGAACTCTGATCTCCTTACCAAGCACACTGCTACAGTAGCTGCACAAAGCACAACCACAATATTGCACAGTATTGTAAAGAGGGACTCCTCTCCCATCACATTCATCTTCCCTTCCCTGGGGAGCCTCCTGGGTCACACTTTGTCCTGCCCCATCTTCAAACTAGAAATGATCAGTACTGCCCCTAGAGAGATTTCCAGCACCTCATACTAAAGCTTGGATAAGGAAGAGTATAGTTCATTATCAGAGATTAACAGACTTTGTCTGTGGAGTTTTGTGGTCTCAAGTTCAAATATCCTTTGTTCTTTCCCTTTTTAGGTCAGATACCATGACTGGACTCTCAGCATCCTGGCCTCGCTCTGCAGAAGTGGCTCACTGCAGGCCATCGATCACCCTGTCACAGACTGGCATGACTTGGGACCAACTGCTGTGTAAGTCTGCTAAGCAGGAGTATCACAAGCTGTTCAATAATGACAGACACAATGATTGAGATGAGGTTTCCAGAGAGGAAGTGACAGTACAATGTGGATATTTATGGCCATAAAATAGGAAGAGCTTAGTTCCCAGGCGGATCTTGCCTCTGCTGGAACCCTTTCAACAAGACGTCTCTACCACAAAGAAGAGATGTGATTTGATTCTATTTCACATCAGCAGATGTCTGGACAAAAGAATCAATGTGAACAAGGCTAAGGGCAGTACTGTCTGTCTTCATTAAACTACTTCATGTGAACCAAAGATCTGGTTGGTATTATTTTAAATGGACCCATTCATCACTCCTTCTAATAGCCCCCCTCTCCTAGAGCCAGTTTTCTTAAGAGTGATTTTTCCTGGGGTAGGACAGCTACAATGAACGGGAATAATTTTGAGTTTTTGTTTTGTTTTTGTTTTATTTTTCTTTTAAGTGGTTCAACCTGGCATTTTGTTCTAAGGCAATTAAATGACTCTGGACTCATACTATAATGAGATTTTATTTTGCTAGGAAAATTTTAGGATGTGGTTCAATTGCATGGTTCAAGTACAAGCTAATCTATATAAAAGGAAAAGTGGAGATTGTGAAGGAAATTCTACGTTGGGTTTAGGAATTTTAGCAGTCATTAAGAACCAAAGCAAGTGTAATGTCAAATTGTTTCATGTAGCCAACCCAGGTGATGTCCTCATGGTTCTATACCCCAAGCTTGTGATAATTTTACAGGACAGGAGGAATTTCTGGCAGAGACTAAGTTTGCAACATTTATTTAAACTCTAAGGTACATTAAAAAATCTCAGAAGCTGGGCACCAGAGGCTCACACCTGTAATCCTAGCTACTCAGGGGGCTGAGATCTGAGGATCATGGTTGGAAACCACACTGGGTAGAAGAGAGACACTTATCTTCAATTTATCACAGAAAAAGCCAGAAGTGGCACTGTGGCTCAAGTGGTAGAGTGCTATCCTTGAGCAAAAGAAGCTCAGGGACAGTGCCCAGGCCCAAAGTTCAAACCCCAGGGCTGGCAAAAAAAATTCTCAGATTTTTGTTGTTGGTGGTGGTCATGGAGCTTGAACTCTGGGCCTGTGTGCTGTCCCTCACCTCTTCATCTCAAGGCTAGCAACACGTCTAGTTTTCTAGTGGTTTATTGGAGATCAGCGTCTTATGGACTTTCCTGACTGGGCTGGCTTTGAACTACAATCTTCAGATCTCAGCCTCCCAAGTAGCTAGGATGACAGGCACAAGCCTCTGGTGCCCAGCTTGTCATTTTTTTTTTTTTTTTTTGTCCAGTCGTGGAGCCTGAACTCTGGGCCTGGGCGCTGTCCCTCAGCTCTTCAGCTCAAGGCTAGCGCTCTACCACTTGAGCCACAGCGCCACTTCTGTCTTTTTTTCTTTTTGCTTATGTGGTGCTGAGGAATGGAACCCAGGGCCTCATGCATGCAAGGCAAGCACTCTACCACTAAGCCACCTTCCCAGCCCCAACTTGTCATTATTTTTATACCCTCTTTTGGTACTGGTACTGGAGTTTGAACTCAGGAACTCATGCTCACTTGGTTTGCTTGCTCAGCTGGTGCTCTACCACTTGAACCACACCTCCAGTCTGGATTTTTGCTAGTTAACTGGAAATGTAATCTTTTAAACTTTTCCCTGGCTGGTTTCAAACTGTGATTCTCCAGATTTTATCTGGCATGAGCCACTGGTACTCAGCTCACCCCTCCCCCCCACACACCTTTTTTTGGGACAGTGTTCTCACTGTAGCTCAGGCTGGTCTGGAACTTGAGATCCTCCTATCTCAATATCCTTGAGTGCTAGGATCACAGGCATACACTACTATGCCCAGTGACATCCTTTAAAAGCTGCATTTTTTTCAAGCATCTAAATTGGGTTAGCATGGGGCTGGGAAGGTGGCTCAGTGGTAGAGTGCTTGCCTTGCATGCCTGAGGCCCTGGGTTCGGTTCCTCAGCACCACATAAGCAAAAAGAAAAAGGCCAGAAGTGGCGCTGTGGCTCAAGTGGTAGAGTGCTAGCCTTGAGCTGAAGAGTGAGGGCCAGCGCCCAGGCCCAGAGTTCAGGCCCCACGACCGGAACCCCCCAATAAATAAATAAATAGGGTCAGGAAACACTTTTTTCGTAAAAAGCCAGATAATAAATAGTTGCGGCTTTATGGCCATATAGCCTGTCATGACAACTTAGTTCCACTACTGCAGCAATCAGTATATGCTAATGAATGAAAGTAGTGTATATCAATAAAACTTTATTTGTAAAAACAATCAGTGGGCTTGGTTTGGTTCAGAGGCCAGCTAGTTTAGCAACTCTGGTCTGAATGAATTCCCTTAAAGAAAAATGAGCTTATGTCCAGAAAAGAAGTAACTTCTTAGTGAGAGAAAGAAAGAGACAAGGAGTAGGATCACAGGGGGCCCTTCTAGAGGAGACAATACATTCAAATTACAAAACAAGATGAGCTCAGCCAGTTAATAATTTTATTTTGAGTTTTATAAAAAAAAAAAGCTTTGAGAAAAATGTGTTAGATACCAGTAAAGGGCAGGAAAACATGTAGCTAGCTTTATAATAACAATCTAAACATGTAGACAGGCAAACATTAAGCAAAAGGCTAGGGAAAGATGCACTTAGGGGCTTACTTCAGTTTTCCTTATTGCACATAGAGGTTACACATAGCTCCAAGCCTTTGATTTTTTTCACAGTTAGAACATACTTCGAGGTCATTTTTATAGAACACATTTATTTCTATAACATACTACAATGTTAATCTTATTTTTTTAAAAAATCACCAGTCTGCTAATGTTTAATGGACATCGAAAACAAAATTCTCCCCAAACCCAGTATGTAAACTCTCTATAAAAACTTCCCCACATGAAATTCATCCTATTCTACTTTTATAAAATTGCTTTGCAGCTAATTAAATAAATCTTAGTGGCCTTCTCATTTAATCACTCTAATAATGCACATAGTAAAACATTCCATGTAAGAAGTGTCTTTTATGTAAAAACTAAAAGCAACGAAGCGGTAATGTTGATCAAGAAGCATTGGACTCATAAACTGACATGATGAATTGAAACTCCTTTGTACAACTACTTAAAGATAATAAAAATTCTTTTAATTAAAAGAAAACACAAAGACAACCTAAGAAGAGATGACCCTACTCTGAAGTCACACAATGAGCAACTTCAATGCTAAATTACAGATATACACACTTAACACCCACTGAACTGAAACACATTCCTGTTTCTCCACAGCCTACAAGTAATAATAATAATCACAAAGTCAGTCCTCCAAACGTCCATGCAGTTGGCCACCCAGTCATACCTGGATGGGAACTTTCAAAAGTGCTTTAGACAGCAAATGCTGAATGCTGTTTACAAGTTCTCTTCGGTCTGAGTTCCTCCCACATAGAGGCCCAGACAAATCTTCACTGGCTGATAGTTGAGAGTTGCCTGTATCTTTTGGAAATTTAGCCTTTTAACCTTTTTAAGTGGCTGTTAGAAAAAGAAGTGGGCTTTTGCCACATGTGCACACTCTTATGTCCATTTGAGACCTTTGCAAAAGGCAGCCCAGCAGCCAGACCCATCTCTTTCATGTTCTCCCTGGGTGCCATCTGGGCCATGGTTCTAGTATACCCTGCTTAGGAAAATAAATGAACATCAAAAACTTTGGTTTTGCTTGTTACAAGTTTTGCTAGTACTGGGTGAGAAGACAGGATGCTTTTGCTAAATTTTTTAGGTTCATGGAAATTGAAACTGGAATAAAATGGTTTCTTTCTAGGTCCTACTTTATTTATTTACTTTTTGTGCTGGACCTGGGGCTTGAGCTCAGGGCCTGGGCACTGTCCTTGAGCTTTTTACTCTAGGCTAGCGCTCTACCATTGGAGTCACAGCTCCACTTCCAGCTTTTTCTGAGTAGTTCATTGGAGATAAGAGTCTCACAGACTTTTCTGCCTGGGTTGGCTTCAAACTGTGATCCTCAGATCCAGCCTCCTGAATAGTTAGGATTACAGGTGTGAGCCACTGGCTCTTGGCTTGACACTAGCCAGGGCTTCTACAGTTCTCAGTAGGTTTAAAGGAGGAGTGATGAAATCTTACCCAGAGGTTGTCTCCAAACTAGGACTTCTGACTACTCACTAGGTTCATTTTGCTGAGGGTATCAGAATGTAGCAGTTGGCACCAGTAAGCCAGATTATCACTTCAAAATAGCAGAAGACATCAGAGGTCAAGGGTACAAGTCTAATGCACTTGGCTGCTTCATCCCTGCCCTAAGTCATCCTGACATCATCAAAAGGTAGGTGCAAATCTGTTAAGTGCCCATTTCTGTGGCATAAGGAAGTACCACACTTACCTACCTATCAGAAAGCTGCATTTCATAGTAGGTAGGGACAAACTCCTTAGAACTCACCCCAGGTTCAAGGCAGGTGTGTACATGATTGGCACCTCTGATGAGTTGTTCAGATGCCTCTCCCTGTGGCATTTTTTTCTGTCCTTGGAAATCACTGCTTCTACTTAAATACTTTGATATGATTACAGTAACTCCCACTCAAGAAAAAAGAATGAGGTGATGTGGTAGAGGGCAGGACTTGGTTTTGGAAGGAATTCTATTCTTTGCCCTGGACTGAAATGTTTATAGATAGTTGAGATAATATTTTGAGTGCTCATCTGTCAACCAAACCACAAGGCATGTGAGGTCTAAAGAACATGGCCTAAGAAGTTCCTTGCTCTTTGCTGGATAAGACATTTGTTGTCACAGTGTGATAGTTTGGCTTCAAGGCATGGACGCTCATTTGTCTGGTCATCCCAGGTTGTCCCCTGGATGCCCTTCTTGTGCTTGTTTCCTGGGAAGACATGCATCCTTCCTTCAATCCACAATTCCTTCTCTAGGAAAGCTTCAGTTTCCTTATAATTCCCACAAAGTATTATTAAAAGGGGTTTTTATTTTTTCTCTTTTGGAGCTTAAACTCTGTCTTGATGCGACAACAAATTGACTACCTCCACCTGTTCTGTAGCAAGTCCTCCATATTTTGAAGAATTAAAACACAAATTTGTGCTTGGGGACAAAAAGAGACAACATTTGACCACAAAAGGGACTCCTAATTCCATGTTGGATGGAAAAGCTTCAGGTTTGAGTAGATAGCAGCCCAGTTAAGTCAAAAGCCCTTCTTTCTAAAACAACCATAATAAAGATGACAAGTTTTAAATTTCCCCACACCTAAATGTGAGTCACCCTTCTCTACCCTTAAAGGCTCTAGTACTTTCCAATGTTCCCCCAAAGATTAGCAGGAAACTCTCCAACAGCTGTCTAGTTTGTATTATTGATTGCTACCCTGTAGGTTCCTGTGAGTAACCACAATTAGAACATAACAATTAACTTGCTAGGCCATTCTTCTAACTAAAGTGACAAGGAGGGAACCACTAATAGCTCTAGCCAAAAGGCATTTCTAAACCTTGGCTGCACCTGCGCTCCTGAAGTTTTAAAACAAAAAACAAAGCATTGATGCCAGGCCTAATCCTGAAGCAACTGAACCCAAAATTTCCAATGGTAAATGCCTTTGCAGTGAGTGAGTGAGTGTATACATGTGTGTGTGCTGCTGGGATGAAATCAGGGTCTCCTACATCTGCCACTAAGCTACAGTGCAGCTTTGGCTTTTAAAACTGGCAATTAAGCCCTGACATGAAGACGGTGTAGTCTGCTTGCCTGCATTTTCCCTATGACTACAAGCAGAGTTTTCCTATTCATTTTTTTCTCTTTGAAATCAAGCAAGCAGCATAAGCAAGGCTTTATAAAGTCCCAGTCAAAGTGCGAATTAGCCTATTCCTCCATCTTTTCAAAAAAAGTACTAGAGTGAGTAGTGCATGCCTATAATTCCAGCTGTTCTGGGAGGCTGGGGACAGAAGATTGCAAGTTCAAGGCCATTCTGGGGCAACAGAAAAAGTACATCTAAAAAAAAAAACAATTAAGTCCCACTTTTTTTTTTCTTTTCTTTTTTTGTCAGTCGTGAGGCCTGAACTCTGGGTCTGGGAGCTGTCCCTTGGCTCTTCAGCTCAAGGCTAGCTAGCACTCTACCACTTGAGCCATAGCGCCACTTCCAGCTTTTTCTGCTTATATGGTGCTGAGGAATTGAACCCAGGGCCTCATGCATGCAAGGCAAGCACTCTTCCACTGAGCCTTCCCAGCCCAAAGTCCCACTTTTTAAGGCTTATACTATGACGGATCATTATTGAGAAAATTACTGTTAAAATAAATACTTCTGGGCTGGCTCTGGGCTGGAGCACACATGTACATGGCTAGCTTCTCCAAGCCAGGCAGCTGTTGTCTCCCACCTGACCCTGTTTCCTCAGAATCTCCCCTCCAGGACTCTAAAAAATCTCTTCTCTGTCCTGAGCCCTCATGAGATCAGGTATATTGTTCAGCTGTCTTCACACTTACAAAGTCCATGGATAAGCACAAAAATCAAAATAGACTTTTTAGGAAGGAAAAAAGTAGAAAAAAAATTCATCCCATTTTATTATACTGATAGATATGAAACTGTCTTTTCTGATTTAAAAAAAATAATAGAATATCAGCAATTTCATATGGCTGAACATTTAATAAATTTTTCTTTTAATTGCATACATTATCAATTCAAACACGAAGTTATGAAGCTTTGATCTGAAAATAATCATTTAGCAGGGTGCTAGTTGGCACCTACTATAGTCCCAACTACTTGGGAGACTGAAAATAGAAGATTGCTAGAGTCCAGTTTGAGGCTAGTCTGGGCAACACTGTGAGACTCTAAAAAGAAAAAAAATATTAAATATTAAAAGTGGTATCTAAGGAGCTGATTTCATTATGATTTACTAAAGTGGGACAACTATTTTGTCTGCAACATAAAGAAAAATGCCCACAAGTTAGAAAAGCATGTTTTTAGAAACTAGTTGCCCAACACAGAGACAGAGAGAAAAATCAAGCTTTCCCTAACAGTTCTCAGTATTTTGCTGATTGCATGTATGAACAGGCAGAACAGCTCATCCAGAAAGAGCTCAATCTACAAACCTAGATTTCAATCCACACCCTCATTAAGCTGGTAAAGCAGTCAGTCTCTTCAGATAACAAGAAAATGACTCCTCTGGGCATGGCACATGGTGTCAAGACACCTGGATTCCTAATCTGATAGAAGAGAGAACTTTCTGCTGGGTTGAGTAATGCCCTATGGCTCACTGATTGCTTTGCCTCTCATTTCTCACATGGCCAGGGAAGTTGCATGCATGCATCATTCAAAGTTTGCAATTCTACCCAGTCAAGACTCCTAGCTTGTATTTTATTTGCAAGTTATTTTTTTTTTTTTGCAATGAGATTTCTTTCCTCCAAAAGCTAGCCTATGGTCTCTTCAGACCCTTGTTGCTTTCTCTGCCCCAGATAAAAGCTTCCTATACATGGTGATAGCTTTACCCCCACAGACAATACCTCAGTTCTCTTTAGCCATTTCCCAGACAACCAGCTCTCATGGTAGCCCTCAGAAGTTGAACCATTTCTGCAATTATACCATTACCACTTTTGAAATATCTCCTGTCCTCAGATTGATTTTTTTAAACCCACCAGTATAATACTATTTGCCTTTGGTTTTGAACATTTTAGTGACTTCTTCATGGCAATTTCCAGAGGAGGAACACTACATCTTGCCCTTGCTTTGCAATGCCTCATAGATACCTTTTCTAATGACCATTTTGTTAGGAGAAACACAGGTAGCTAGGGCTAGGACTCCTGATAGGAGATGCTCACAGCCTTCAAAGCACAGTCTCCAATCCAATAGTCCTTTTTGTCCTGTCTAACAGCAGCATCTCAGAATCCTTGGAAGGCCAATTCAATTACCTTCCTCCATGAGTTTTTGGTATCCTGTTCTCCCATAACTTGATATCCTGGAGCCAGCTAGACACACAGTGGTAGACCTAGGAGTGTCTCATGGGTGGCCAGGCAGAAGCCCTGTCTCTGCTCTGCCACCCTATGTGTTCAGATGCTGCGGGCAGACAAATTAAGAGACTGTTTAAAGCATGCTATTACTTTGTTTGCTTAACTTGGAAAACAGTAGGACGATGTGAAAAACTGGGAGTATGGTCTGCATTTGTCTTAAATTAGAGACACTTTAGCTTCACCATCTGCGCCTTGGGTTAAATTTTGAATGTTAAGATAGCATCAGATCCCAATAAAACAGAAGCATTTGTTCAATCCAGTCAACGTCCCCACTCAAACACACTAGAGGGGGGTATAGCCATCCTCACCCCTCAGGGCCTCACCCTATCACTTCAGGGTTTAGGGATGGCAGAAAGTCATGCATTTTCCTGCAGAGGAAACACAAGAGGTGTGCCCCGGCTTGAAAGCTTCTGGTCTCCCATTCCCAGGTCTCGCTCCAGCACTTCTTCTGAGCTGCCCTTGGTTCTCCGACTACCCTCCAGACTGGTAGAGGCTGTGTGGGAGCCCGAGGAGCCATTGGCAGTCACTGCACTGTCTCCATAGGTCAAGGTGAGGTCACCCTCGGTGAGGATGAAATCTGAGTCTTCTTCTCGTAGTGGCTCTTGGTTCTAAAAGACACAACCAACCAACACCAAAGACAGGAGTCTGAGATCTTCCAGGGCTAGAGCCAACCCCAACCCCAATCCAACTCAATGCCTCATCCCAAACCAGGACTGTATGAAACCTGCCTGTGCTGAGCCTCCAGCATGAACCCTGAATTGTAACTGGAATGTCAGCACAAGGTGCTATTACTAGAACCAGGATTTAGAATGAAGGAAGCAGGTTAGATTTCAAGTATCTGATGGCTTTGGGATGGGGCACAGTTAGTGTTCAAGGAAGGAAGAAAATGCAGCTGGATTCCAGCTTCCTAACCTGCAAAGGAAGCTAGGGAAGGTCTGGGGGCAGAGGCTACAAACAGGTTCTGGTACATTCTCCTTGGGAAGGTCTTTTGCCTTACACAAACCATTCTAAAATTACCTTGTTTACTACATGTGAAAACAAATCTGTCCTATCAAGTATCAGTGCCTCATGCCTGTAATACTACCTACTCAGGAGGCTGAGATCTGATTATCACAGTTCAAAGCCAGCCTGGGTAGGAAAATCCATGAGACTCTTCTCTCCAATAAACTACCAGAAAAAGCTGGAAGAGGTGCGGAGGTTCAAGTGGTAGAGCTCTAGCTTTGAGCACAGAGACTCAGGGATAGCGCTTTGGCCCTGAGTTCAAGCCCTAGATCTGGCAATTAAAAGAAAAAAGAAAAAAATCTGTCCTGAATCAACTTCAGTGGGGCTAGGATTCCCTCCCTTTCCCCTCTGTTGTTTCCAAAGAAAACCTGGGTGAGTCCTCCCCTCTAGGTCTCAGGTAGGTAAGTAAGTTGAGGGAGCTCTGTGACTAAGACTGAAGGCCTGAGCTAAGAAAACCTGAGATGCTCCCACTGACAGAAAGTACAGTGCAATTCTGTGCTGCTTGTCTGTTTTTACTCACACGCTGGATGTGAAGAAGCACCTGGTTAGGAAAAGGACTGGAATAGCAGCGGAGGCTAAGAAGTACTTATAGAAAAAACAAAGTTACATAAAGCAGCCATTAACAAGGTCATGATCACTTGGAACTACTGCCAGCAGTTACCAGGTAGAATGCAAGGAGATAGCAGGAGGTGAGATGGAACCTTTCACTATCAATGGGTTTCACAAGCACAACACAGGGAGGGCTGTGACATCACTCCTTTGCTGCTCTGAGGTCTGTCAAACACTCAAACGGTACATGCACACAGTGTAAACACTGTGCTCTGGAAAACTGCTCTGTTTTGTTCTATTTCCTTCCAGCATGCCTTCAAGACCATGTGCATATTCTTCAGGGAGACAATGGACACTCCCGCTAGGTGATAAACCATCAAAGGAGAAGTGATCAACTTCCTGAAAGCTGCTCACTTTGTAGAGGTCAAGCATCTCTAATCCTAACCAAAAAATCCTAACTCTAAAGTGTGCAAATTTGTTTTGTGTGCTAGTACTGGGGCTTGAACTCAGTGCCTGGGCACTGTCCCAGAGCTTGATTTGTGCTCAAGGCTGGCACTCTATCACTTAAGCCATAGCTCCAATTCCAGCTTTTTTGTTGGTTAATCGGAGATAACATTTTCATGAACTTTTTTTTTTCCAAGGTTGGCTTCAAACCACAATCCTCAGATCTTAGCTTTCTAAAACTAGCTAGGATTATAGGCATGAATGAACCAAAGGCACCCAGTTTAAAATGTAAAACTTTTTGAGTACCAACATGACCCAAATTTGGCCATTCAATATATACAAACTTTGGTTTTTGTGCACAAAATTATTGTAAATATTGTATAAATTAACTTTATGTTACATATACATAGTATATGAATACATTTTGTTTAGATTCTAGTCCAGCTCCAGGATATCTACATTTGCATATACATTTAAAACCCTCAAAACAACTGGATATCCCAAACACTTTTGATCCTAAGCATTTTGGATAAAGGCTTTCTGCTTGTACTTGGAGTTGTACTACATGAATGCCTGGTACATGCCTCCAAGCTGGGAGGGTACTGGGGTTGAGCTTCATGTCTGCATACATTCAGATGGTAAACATATGCTTGCTTTCTGCATTGTTTGTCAGTGATAGCAGCTTCTCCACACAGTCTGACTCTACTTAACTAATGTTTGCTCAGGCACTTTTAATAGGTGAGCAATGCAATTCTTCTCAATTGCCCAATGGAATGAGGCAGGGTGCAGGACTTGATGATATGCAAACCCTACTGTTAGGCAGAAATAGCACCAACTAAAACTCCTCCAAATTCCCCTCTAGTCCCTCCTCTAGTGTTTACCAGGTCCTGAAACTCTCCATGTGTCCTATGCTAATTTCCTCCACAGCAAATGACATCATGCAGCCTACTGAGTTTTCAGCTCCAAGCAAGTCATCCTTTCAAACTACTTCTATTCACCTTATGCTAAGCAATGTTTTTTTTGTCTCTGTTAAAGTATCTCTTCCAGAGATCTCAGCTCCCAATTTTTAAATAATTTTTATTGAGATTACATAAATTTCACAGTATTGAAAGATAGTAATACTTAAAGTCACAAACATATTTTAATCTTCACTAGGCAAATTGTCATTATCTTGGTCTGTAAAGTTTGTGAATTCTACAAGCTTTGACAGTACACTATTTCTTCCATGTTGGGTGGTATGTGCATTTCTTTTCTTTTGCTTAAGGTTAACTGTTCCCTCTTTCCCTCTCATGTCCTCACTCCCTTGAGTTGCTTAGTTTATTTTTGTCAATGTCCACTGCAGCTGATGGGCCCCTCTTGTATTTTTTCCCATTTCCCTCTGATTCTGTGCCCTCCTCTTAACTTCCCTCAGATGTGTGTGTGTGTGTGTGTGTGTGTGTGTGCATGCACACACACACACACACCCACACCCATATATGAGGTCAAGAACATGGAGTCATTTAGAAATTATATGACAAATTAAGTAGTTGTCCTTTGTTTCTTAAGTCCTGTTTACTTTGTCATATTTCCTTGCATTTTGGATTTAACATCCATATATCAGGGAGACCATGTGCTGTATGTCTCTCTGCTCTTAGCTTACCTTGCTCCAAATGATTTGCTCCAGGTCCATCTATTTCCCTGCTAATGCCATTATTTTGTACTTTCTAATAGCTTTATAGTATTCCATTGTATATAGGTACCACAATTTTTGGATCCATCCATCTGTAGTGGGGCATCTGGATTGTTTCCATATCTTGGCTATTGTGAATAGTGCAGCAATGAACATGGAGGTGCACCTGTCCTTGTATCCTGGTTCCTGTTGCTCAGGATAGATGCCTAGGAGCAGTATGGCTGGATCATAGGGGAGGTCTATATTTAGCTTTCTGAGGTACCGCTAGACTGCTTTCCAAAGTGTATTAGTGTACATCCCACCAGCAATGCAATAGAGTTCCTCTTTCTCTGCATCCCCACCAGCATTTGTCATTGGCTGAATTTAGGATATGTGCCATTCTGACTGGGGTAAGGTGGTATTCTCAGCGTTATTTTTATTTTCAGCTCCCAATTTTTAGGGAGATGGTTGTTATGTTTTTGTTTGTTTGTCTGTTTTACTGTTTTCAAGGCTTGGAGCTACAAAGGGACAGATAGGGCCATCTTGTTAATGAAGAAAAGCTCACATAGCACCAGGACATGAACTCCAGTGGGGTGATCACAGGGTTACAATTAGCCAGCAGGAGAAATCAAGACTGGATGTTGATTTGTTCTATCTATATAGTGAGGCTAGCAGCCCATATAGGTCATTGAAAAGCAAGGACATCTTAGAGCCCAATGGAAAACCACAACTCAATCACAGCTTAAGGAGTGCTCCATGCAGATGGTGAAACCCAGTCCCTCCCTCAGCTTCTAGCTGACAGGATCACCAGGAGCTGGCTGGCTCCTTAGACAGCACCCCAAGCCAAAAAGGCAGCAACTGAGTCACCGAGGGTGACTTGTGCCAGTAGCTTAAGTCATTCCATCTCAGGTTGGCTATTTGGAGCCCAAATATCACTCCGGGAAGCAAATCATGCATAGTCTCCAGAACTTGTGAGGAAAACACTTTAAACAGGGTTTTAGATGCTCTGTGTTTATGCTGACCCCAATTATTCCACATATTCCTAATCTTTGAGCAAGTGTGTTCTGGGATTACAAGTACACACCACCATGCCACTTTAAGAAGATTTTGAAGGTGTAATTAGGTAGAGTTTCATTACTAGGAGAAGTGGCAGTGTATAGTCATCACTGATAGCACGCCTCCACATAGCCCACACTGCCACTTTCAACAGAACCTGGACTGAGTGAATTGTTCAGCATTCACAATGGTAAATGCTCGTGTGTGTGTGTGTGTGTGTGTGTGTGTGTGTGTGTGTGTGTGTGTGTGTGTGTGTGTGTGTCCCAGACAAGGGGCTGGAACAAGGGCCTGGGCACTGTCGCTGACCTTTTGTGCTCAACGCTAATGTTCTACCATTTAAGCCACAGGTCTATGTCCTGCTTTTCTGTTTATTAATTAGAGAGTCAGACCTCAGCCTCCTGAGTAGCTACCAGCTTCTAATTCACATGGCTTTTTATTAGAGACACTTTTTTTGGGGGGGGGGGTCTGGTCATGGGGCCTGAACTCTGGGCCTGGGCGCTGTCCCTCAGCTCTTCAGCTCAAGGCTATCTCTCTACCACTTGAGCCACAGTGCCACTTCTGGCTTTTTCTGCTTATGTAGTACTGAGGAATCGAACCCAGGGCCTCATGCATGCAAGGCAAGTGCTCTACCACTGAGCCACCTTCCCAGCCTCCACATGGCTTTTTTTTTTTTTTAAGAAAGCTAAGTAGCAAACAATAAATTACAAAACTTTTCTCTACTGGTTTGTATCTTTCGCTTATAAAATATAACTAGAACTACTGTTTAGGCTAACAGATACTTGATTAAAAGGTTATCATGGCTGGAGGCATGGTCCTAATGGTAGAATATCTGCCTAGCAAGTGTGAGGCCTTGAGTACTGGTACACAAAAAAGTTATCATACACAGCCTTTATTACATTGAGGAATGTCCCATGTACAGTATCTTTACAATAAAAATATATATTAAAAAAAGTTATCATGAATGTTACAAAAGGAGCATTTCTAGAGGTGACTTCATCATTCTATTAGGTCTCATTCTTGGGGGGAAGAGTACCTAGGACCTTGCATGTGGTAAGTAGGTGGCTCTACAACTAAGCCACAGCACTGTCCCATCCCCAATTAGCATAGGTAGTCTAAGAATTTCACTTCATTTATGTATTAATTTATTTATATGCCAGCACTAATATTTGAACCCAGGCTGTGGGCACTGTCCCTTAACTTTTCACTCAAGACTGGTGCTCTGCCACTTGAGCCAAACTTCCAAATGGAATGCTCAGATCTCAAATTCCCTGAGTAGCTAGGATTACAGGTATAAGCCAGTTTGTCCTACTGTTCAGATGTGGCTGCCCTTCCTCTCTGCCCTATATCCCTTGCTTGCTACGCTATCCACAATTCTTCCACTTTGTGTCTCCTTTGTGAATGAATGTCAGATCTCCTGACCCCTCTTCCTTACCCCAACCTATTCAGAACTTACCTGTTAAAGCTCCTTTTTCCCACAGACTCAGCCTTGGTGGTATGCTTTCATATCACTGTACAGGTAAACTGCAGGTTATCTGATATTTGAAGACCTCTGATAGGGTCTCAATTCTTTCAGTTACTAAGTGAGGGCTCATGGACAACTCATACCATACTGGAGTTTCAACTAAAATGCTATAGTATCTTCTTCTTCATGGCCTCTGGGGGCTGTTTGCTGCACACAAACCTAAAAATTTCTTTTTTCCTAAAGCATAATAGCTGTGTGATGACAAGATGATTAGGCGGTGGAAGAGTGATGCTAAGGGGGAAGCTCTGCCATCCCTCCACTCCTTCCATGTCATTGGCAGCTGCCTGTTCTCTCTTGCAACCCACATTATGAGCTCAAATTGGTCCTGCACAAACCTGTCCACAATGGGATACTCATTTGTCCTATGAAGTATCCATTTTTTACATAAGAGAATGGACAGAAATGATCTGGCCACATCAACAGAAATAAACCATTTAGAAAAAGAACATTTGTATCTGTGAAATGCTCTGTAGTTCAGTGTATAATGCTCACAGTCAGCCTCCACTTTCAGGTCCAGAGCACTTCAAAGGCCTGACAGGGCTTCAATTCCAATCTTTCTTTTTTGTTTTATTTTTGGTGTGTGTGGGGGGGGAGGGGTGGAGGGTATGTGCATGTGCGCTAGTACTGGGCCTTGAACTCTGAATTCAAGGGTCTTAGGCTCTCACTTGTATTTTTCACTGGAGGCTGGCACTCTGCCACTTAAGTCACATCACCTCTTCTAGCTTTTTATTGGTTAATGGAGCTAAGAGTCTCACTGACATTTCTAGATAGGCTAGCTTTGAATTGTGATCCTCAGATCTCACTCTCCTGAGAAACTAAGATTGCAGGCATGAGCCACAGGCACCTGACTCCAGTCTAGCTGTTCTGATGCCAAACTCAGCATTCTTTCTAATACTACACTTGCCCTTGTTGGGAAGTCCTTTAGACGTGTTAATGTTTCCACTGGTTTGTTGTAAAATCTATAAACGTATGGAACTTGGCTGTAACACAAAACTTATGAACTTGGGGGATCTTAGTGAAATGGATTTGTTCTTCCTAGGAAAAGACAATCTTGGCATGGTAAGCATAAATACAATTCTGATACACTGTACTTACATCATATACCTGGGGACTGGTCAGACATCGAGCCAGCAAGCCACACCAGGCCGGGAGAGTGGTGGTTAGTGGTGGACCACTGTGAGTGAGGATGGGCTTCAAGTAACTTAAAAAAAAGAATTAAGGAAAAATGGCTACAAAGAAAACATACACACAAGAAAATGTGTTTATAGCCATATGCGAGAGGCTCGTGTCTGTAATCCTAACTACTCTAGAGGCTGAGATCTATGGATCATGGTTCAAAGCCAGCCCAGACAGGAAAATGGATAGGACTATTATCTCCATTAACCAGCAAAAAGCTGGAAGTGACTAAAATGACAGAGTGTCAGCCTTGAATAAAAATTCTAAGCAAGAGCACAAGGCCCTGAGTTCAAGACCCAGTACTAGCAAAAAATACCTATTTAAAAATCCCAAAGAATAGAGTAATAAATTGTCTGACATTCTATGATCCCGAAAATCCCTTTCCTGGGGGACGGAATGTGGCTTAGTGGTAGAGTACTTGCCTAGCATGCATGAAGCCCTGAGTTAGATTCCTCAGTACCACATACATACAGAAAGCCAAAATTGGCTCTGTGGCTTAAGTGGTAGAGTGACAGCCTTGAACAAAAGAAGCTCAAGGACAGTAACCTGAGATAAAGCCCCAGGACTAGCAAAAATCCCCCCTCCCATTATATCAGGGCACACAGAGGAAATAACTGTCATCTGCAGCATCAAGGATCAGAGATTAAAATGTGCCCTATCAACCTTATATGATAACTAGAAACTCTCAGATTAGTGATGATTCCAACTGTCAGTTAAAACAACATTGCATTAATTAAACTAGGTGTGCTGGCACACACCTATCTGTACACTCACATCCCCACACTGGAAGGGTGAGGTATAAGAGGATCACAATTTCCACTTCAGTCTGGGCTATATAAGTGAGACTCAAATCTACAACAAATGAAAACAAGAGATTGGATTAATAGCCATCAATACTTGAGCTTTTGACAAAGTTCAAGTCTTAGATAGGAGATTGGGTTCTTGGAGTGGAGAGCTGAAGCCTAAGGAACCCTCTGTTTTTGCTTTCTCGAAGTATATCCCTTTGAAATCACTCTATGTAGAGGGCACATGGTATATACAGTGGGACAGGATAGGACCTTAGAGGTTAACTAGGGGCCACTACCTATGCATGGAAGAATGTTGAAAGACATTCTTGGCCTCTACCACTGGATCCTCCACTCCTCAACTTGTAATGATAAAAAAAAGTCTCTAAAAGTTCCCAAATGTTCCCCAAGAAGCAAACTGGCTCTTGGTTGAGATTACTGCTTTATGGTGAAGGTCAGCAGAGATACAGAGAGCTTAGGTGTTATCAACGGATGAGTATCTATGCTGTCAAATGTTCAGCCCACCACAAACGCAGTACCTATCCCACTATGGCAACCACTTCTGAGACCCATAGTCAAAATGAGGTGGGAAAGGTGGCATCCCTATAAGGATGTGTTTTTTCCTTTTATCACATATAATCAGCAAAAGACTCATATCTAGGACCCATAAAGAATATTTACAAATCAGAAAGAAAAAAGATAATCCAATGGAAAAGGAGGCAAGAAACTTAAACAGGTAAACATAAAGGAACATATCAAATAGCCAATAAATATCTGAGAAAGTACTCAACTCTATCAGTCTTCCAAGAAATACAAGTGAAAACCACAGTGAAATGCCTGTATCAATGCATTAGAAAAGCTGGAGTAAAAAAAAAACCCAATAACAAGAAAGCCATTAACTGTAGGTAAAGATGTCCAGTAACTGGAACTCTCATATACTAGTGATGATTGGGTGGAGTAGTATCACCATTTTGGAAAACTAGCACTACCTCCTAAAGATGAATTCATATATTTGCTATGCTCCTCAGTGATTTTACTCCTAGGTAGATTCCCAACACAAATATATGCACAGTGCATCAGAAACAGGTACAATAATATTCATAGTAGCTCCATGTGATAGATAAGCCATATGTTTTTTAGCAATGGAATGATAAATTATGATGCGTTCACACAATGAAATACTGAGCCACAGTGAAAACAAAAGAACTAAAGCAAGATACAAGATGGATGAACCACCCAAACAAACCAGACACTAAAACACATACAATTATATAATCTCATGTATATAAAACTGAAAACTGATTAAACTTTAAAATGTTGCTAAAATTTAAAATATATTTATTGACCAGTTTAATGTTAAATGAATGTGTTCATTTTGTAACTTGCAGAACACTATGAGATATATAATGGTTATACAGTTTCAAAAACTGTCTTGACATTTTCCTTTGTGTTTGTTTTTGTACTGTTACTAGGGTTTGAACTCAGTCCCTTAAGTTTCTTCATTAAAGGGTAGTTTTCTACCACTTGAGCTACACCTTATTGTCCAGCTGTTTTGGTAATTAATTGGAGATAAGTCTCATGGTTTCCTGTCTAGAGTACTTTCAAATTGAGATCCTTTAAGCCTTCAGCCTTGATTACAAGTGTGAGACACTGGTAGCCAGACTTAATATTTTCAGTGTCTCAAAATCTCATTTGACCATCATGTCAGTTTTAACAATTATGAAGGTTTAACTTTTTTGAATTTTCATCTGGGAATCTACCAGGATAGGGTGTACCCTCTGTGTGGTCCCATTATGCCACTATTAAGATCAGATTTGGCCAAATTCAACCAAAAGGAATGATCTTTCCCACATGGATGAATTGCCCAAGTTCTCCTTTCCTTCCTGACCACAGCATGGCTCACTGTGTAATTTTTAACTAACTCACATACAAAGGCATAGCTAGCTCCCCTAGACACAGAACTCTCAATGGCTGTGTGAGTGTACTAGGTTGAAGTTGGCTATTTTAATGACATGAAAACATTCATCTTGGCCAGAGAGATGCTCACCAGGACCACAGTGGTTAAATAATAATACATGTGTCCCAACAGAGGATAGATCATATCTGTCCCAGCACACATCTTTCCTTGATCACCAGAAGTTATTCAGCAACAACTCAATAATCAGATTACATCTGAACACAGAAGATGCTGCTTAAAAGGATACTTGTGGTCAAAGCTGTACCACAGCCTGAATATCCATGCACTCTCCTGCTTGGTCCGGTTTCCTCCAGCAGAATCGGGGCCATCCTAGGAACAAACAAGGGAAAAATGATGTGAAAGAAAGGGTTATGGAGGGTGGGAGTTTTTTTTTTAATTCATAAGTTCTTTGTGTAAGTGCTAGGGCGGAACCCAGGGTTTTACGCATGCTAGAAAAACACAGTGACACTGAGCTACACCACAGCCCCATGAGCTATATATAACTTATAGATCTAGAGCTTATTTGCAAATATCTGATCTTACCAAATTTTCAAAAATATATCGAGGTAATATTGAGCAGACATAGAACAAACCCAAAAAGGCAGAAAAATTAATTCACAAAGAAAATGGTTTCATTATGTTTAAAGGGCACATTAACCAGTATTAGTACAAAATTTCTTTCGGTATTTCTATTATCATTTTCCTCAAAATACCTTTCAGTGGCTTAATTACCCTAAGGTAGTCTTGATACTCATAGTTCAAAACTGATGTACAAGTTGGGCACTTGTAGTTCATGCCTGTAATCCTAGCTACTCAGGAGGTTGATATCTGATGATAGTGGTTCAATGCCAGCCTGGACAGGAAAGTCCAAGAGAATCTTATCTTCAATTAACTTAAACAAAAAACTCTGAAGTGGAAATGTGGCACGAGTGGTACAGTACTACCCCTGAGCAAAAAAGTTGTAGCTCAGGACTGCATGCACACACACACACACACACACAAACACACACACACACACACACACACACACACACACACACACACACACACACACACACACACAGAGAGATTTAGGTATAGAAAATAGTAAAGAAAGTTTCTATGCAATCAACTGTCCATGTTCTCCCAAAGTTGACCTAGAGAAGCCATCACGTTATATTTTCTGACAAATTCGTCCTTGCCTAGGTGGCTCCAGGTGACACTGTCCCTGTCTCCCTGCCAGTTTTAGGAAAGCAGTCAGTGGGCAAGAAAAATAAAGCCATGTCTTTCCATTTCCTTACAAATGGGGCAGTGTCATTCTTACTGATAGAAGCACAGAACTCCACTGTGTATACACACCATATCATCTTGATCCACTCATCTACTGAGGGGCACCTGAGTTGGTTCCATTTCTACCTATGGTAAATAATGCTGCAATAAACATGGTTGTGCTGATAACTTTAGTATGGTTTTAGTATGGCCTTGTTTGTGCTCATTTGGGTAAATGCCCAGGAATGGGATTGCTGGGTCATAGGGGATCTCTATGTTTAGTCCTTTGAGGAACTTCCATACTGCTTTCTAGAGTGGTTGAACAAGTTTACATTCCCAACAACAATGTAATAGCTTTCCCTTTTGGCCACATCCCTACCAACATCTATTGTTATTAGATTTCTTGATAATGGCCATTCTAATTGGGGTGAGGTGGAATCTCAACATTGTTTTGATTTGCATTTCTTTTATGGCCAGAGAAGTTGAGCATTTCTTCATGTGTCTATTGGTCATTCTTATTTCCTCTTCAGAAATGTCTCTAAGTCTTTAGCCCACTTATCAATGGGGTGGTTGTTTCTTTGAGGATATGGTTTTGGTGGAAAAATTATATTAAGCGAAGCAAGTCAGGCCCAAAGAAACGTAGGTTTCATGGTTTCCCTCATTTGTAATAACTAGACTATGTCTATGGTATTCTTAGGGGATCACAATAGTCCAATCACTAAGTGCATAGGACCATATATAATGAAGCATATCAAAATGAACTCCACGAATTGGAAACAAGAGGTTCTTACTTTATCCTGTATGCAGTTATTTCTTTTTTTTCTGCTTTGGCTTTCTGTACCCTTTGTCTTGTATGTTAGTTTATCTGATCTGTGGAAGGGAAAGGGAATCATAGAAACAGTAGGACAAAGGGCGAACTAATGCAACAATGATACTCACTAGACACTATGCTGGAAATGATCTTAGGAGGGAGGGGAGTAGGGAGGTGTAAGCAGGAGAAAATGAGGGAAGGGGTAATTGTGTTTAAAAAGAAATGTACTCATTGCCTTACTTATGTTACTGTAACCCCTGCTCATCACCTTTACGATATATATATGAAAAACAGAGCTACTAGCAATCCTGATTATTTATCCTGAAATAGCAAGTTCCTCTGAAGTTATTCCAACTAAAACATCATCATTTAATGTTCAAAGCCTGCAAGATCAGATGTCTTTTTTCAAAATTTAGGAAGTCTGTCTGGGCAAACACTTTTACTTTTTCATATAAAAATTCAGCAGCTTGTGCAGGACTGCTAATGAAAGGTCCATTTCATCTCTCACTTCTTTTTAACATCACAGGGACAGGCAACCCTGAAAGAGAGTACCAATCCACAATAACCAAAGAAAAGCTGAACTCTAACCACAAGGAATTCTAAATCATAGTGGGTGTCCATTTTACCCATAAAAGCAACACTAAGGATTAGCCCAATATCTTTGAGAAGACAAACATATAGATGAGGAGCATTAGCAAGTGCTATTTAAATTCCTAAAGTGGGCTGGGAAGGTGGCTTAGTGGTAGAGCGCTTGCCTTGCATGCCTGAGGCCCTGGGTTCGATTCCTCAGTACCACATAAGCAAAAAGAAAAAAAGCCAGAAGTGGTGCTGTGGCTTAGGTGGTAGAGCACTAGCCTTGAGCTGAAGAGCTGAGGGATAGTGCCCAGGCCCAGAGTTCAGGGCCCACAACCGGATCCCCCCCCCCAAAAAAAACAAAAAAAATAAATAAATTCCTAAAGTTTCCAATAGCAAAGATTATTTTTAAAAATCGAGTCCCCATGGTAACTGAAGAATGTTAGGTTAGAGCTGGATAGAGAAATGGCTTGGTTAATGTGGCTTGGGAAATGTAAATAAGGAGAAACTTCAGAGAACAATCTTATCTTATGTTTTCATAAGTCATGTGGAAGAAAGAGGGCAGAAAATGTCTCCATTTACTGATAAATGTTTCTTTGGGTAACAGATTGCTAATTAATCATAAAGCTGGAAAGTTTTCAAAATGCCATGTGACTGAGTAACAAAGTGGTAGATGAGCTTTCTAGTAGGTATATTGTATCTTAATGGAAAAATCAAATGATTCTTTATATGGTGATAGGTTCCAAGCTTCATTGTGTGTGTGTGTGTGTGTGTGTGCGCGTGTGTGCGTGCACGTGCATGGGTGCACACATGTACACATGTATAGGGGCTTGAACTTAGGGCTTTATGTTTTTGCTTGTTTTTTTTCTTAAGGCTACTTGAGCCACACCTCCAGTCTAGCACTTTGCTGGGTAACTGGAGATACAAGTCTCAGATTTGTTTGCTTGGGCTAGCTTTAAATCTTGATTCTGAGATCTCAGCCTCCTGAATATGTAGGATTGCAGGTGTGAACAATCAGCCCTGGGCAACCTCTATTTCAAGTAGCTGAAGAATTTTTACTAAAGAAAAAAGGAACAGACTGATAGGCATTATCAGGAAGGGGGATATAAGCTATCAGGGGCATAATAAGTTTTCCAAGGTAAGTAGTTTCCATTTCTTGTCATAACAACAAACCCCAACAACTCCTATCCTGTGCCACCCCCACAATGCATTTATTAGCACCTGAAATTCTTCAGTTCTTACCTTCTCACCTTTTAGAAGCTATAAGAGGCTTCTATAAGTCTTCAAAAGGACAGTTAAAAGCAATAAAACCAGACTAGGGCTTCTATTTGACAACAAACTAATCAAAGCTCTTCTTCAGCCACAGAGAAATATGTCTGCAATCCTCAAGTGAGATAAAGTGACCTTTGATCTGCAGCAAAAACCAAATTGTAAGAAACAGAGATAACCCAGGCAGGCTATATGGGTAAACTCAGAACAAGTCCAAGGTGCTGTGTTTGTAAAAGGGATGTTAAACAACTTCTTATTCCAAGAGATGGTGCCAGAAGCATGATTAGGTACAGGAAAAGCTTAGATAAATCCACATATGGTAGCTTTGGAGATAACAGGGCAGTTTTGAGCAATGGGACTGATTTTTTAAAAGATAACCCAGATGAGCAACAACTACTTTATGCTATGGAGAAGTCATAAGGGCCCTCCTGTAGGCTCAGATCAGGTAGGGATGTGTAGTCACTGTGGGGACAGGTATGACTTCCTTCCTCTGCACTTGGAGATTCTGGGATTCCCATTCCCAAGCTGCCCAAGAAAAGGAGGGACTTGGTCTCTCTACATACTTTCCAAACCTACTTTCTTGCCCACTAGAAGGGTTCCCAATATCTTGTATTCATCTCAGGCACTTCTGGAGCCCAACACACACCCCTTCTTCCTCTTCCCTCTCCCCTCTATTGAGCCCTGCTCACAAATCTGGCTTTTCTATGAAATAGTTCAAAAGCTTCATGGCATCCAAGAGATTGTGATGTGAACATGACACAAGCATGCCATAGACCACTTGGGTCCTAACCCTGACTCTGCCACTGGCTTGAGTGAGACTCTATGGAGGTTATGCAGCCTTCCTGTGCTTCAGCGGCCTCACAGGAAATGGAGATATTAATAAATACCTATATTGTAGCATCATTATGGGGCTGTGATACAAGAAATCCATATTAGAGCTTCACCCCAGTCCCTGGTACAAAACCCTTGGAATTTCCAGTCTATTTCAATCATACTCCATTTATGTTAATAAGGTTGTGGTCACTGTTGGAAGCTGGGAAAAAATTGTCAAAGAAACCAACCATGTGATTAGACTGCTGGAATTTTTCAGCTCCATTCCCAACCTTTAGGGAGGAAAGAGAGGATAGAGATTCTGTCAATCACCAATATCCAATAATTTAATCACTGATGTGTGTAATAGAACCTCCAGAAAATTCCCAAATGATAGGGTTTGGTGAGCTTCTGGGTTGGTGAACACAGAGAGGTGTTGAGAAGGTGATGTGCTGGAAAAGGCCCTGCTCGCACCTCATATCCCCCTCCCCATACCTTGTCTCCTCCATCTTTTCCTTTTGGCTTTTTCTGAATTGTCTTGTTTACAATAAACTAGTGCTGCTAAGTATGGTGCTTCCTAAGGTCTGTGCATTGTTGTAGGAAAACATAGAACTTGAGA